TATGAGGGCCAGTGACACTGCCCTCTACAGCTAAGATGCTGAACAACAGCTCAACCTGGAGCTGGGCTGCCAAGAGTCGCCAGCGACGGCGTAGGCTGCGGGTGGGGCTGCAGTGGGCTGCCATGAGCTACCGTATTTAGCCAGCAGCCAGCGTGAGGGGCCAGCAGCCAGCGTGAGGGGCCAGCAGCCTCTGTGAGCCTCTGTCAGCCGCTGTGAGCTGCCGTCCAGAAGCCGGCGACTGATCTGCCTCACCCGGGAAGAGCGCAATGATGGTGCCAACTTGGGCCAGTGAAGCAACGTCCTCCACAACTAGACTGAAGAACAAAAGGACAGCAAATTGTCTGTTCCCATCCCCCAATTCCCCAATTAAAAAAATATTAAAAAAAAAAGGAGAGTCCATAGCACAGTACCCACCTGAGTCATTTGTTTTTTTCTGGAGAAGATACACAGAGGACAAGCAAGATTTTTAGCCAGTGACAAATGGTTGAAGTGCCTGGGAAAGAGAAAAATAAATAGTGATAGTAATAGTTATAATTACTACCACCACAGCAATAGCTAATATTTATTGAGCACTTACATGTCTAGAATTGTTCTTTATCTGTGTTATCTCATCTAATTTTCTCAACAACCTTGTGAGGTAGGTAGCATTGTTATCCCTGCTTCCCATTTTATAGGTGATTTATGGCTCACTTAAGGTTATATAGCTAGTAAATGAAGAAGCCTATATTTCAATTCAGGCATTCTTATCTAGAACAGTGACTTACAGCCAACTTGCTATGCTGTTTTGTAAGAGTTGGGGAAAGTAAGATAGCTAACAAAATATTTCAAAGACTATTATGTGGCAGAGGGATCAGTCCTGATTATGTAGTTCTAGAATGTAGTGCTAGCCCCAGGAAGTGTACAGTTTGGGAAGGGAGATTTAGGCTAGGTGTTAGGAACAAGAATCTAACTGTTAGAGACTGTACAGTGAGCTGTACTGCAGAGTTTACCTCTCCAGCCCCTTGCAAGCGGAGGTTAGATGGCCATCTCTTAGGGTTTCTCTTGATGGTATGAGATTGTCCTAGGTAACCTCAGTGACTCCTTGAAAATTCCACAGTTCCCTGAGACTTGTTGTTGGCCAAATGTATGAATTAGGACTCAGAACTTCAAGTAGCAGGAACCCAACTAACTATAGCTAGAACGCATGGGCTCTCTTAGAAGAACAAGGATGCAACTGATCCTGTCATAGTGGAACCAGGAACATGACATCTAAGACTCTACTTCTTGCTTCTGTTTGGCTTTGTTGACTTTCTTCTCTCTTCTTTTTTATTTACTTATTTATTTTTAAGAATAGAGATCTTTTATTTTTACATTTATGCCATGAATTCATAGGGAATGGGTTCCAGCAGCTCAGGCTCCTTTCCATTGGTTCTCACAAAGTGTGCTTCTCTGGGTGGGGCAGGCTGGCGTTTCAGTTGAACCCAAGTACCCTTCTCTTTGGCTTCCTTCTTTTTCTGATCATTTTCCTTCACCCGTTTCAGGAAGGTGTCTCGGCTCTTAGAGTGCTTAATATGTTCAATACGAACATTAATTCCCTTGGCAACTTGTTTGTTTATGACAATGCCAACTGCGTGCTGAGTAACATTGTAGACCCCTCCAGTTTTGCCGTGGTGACATGGTGGGGCATTCCCTTTTCGAACAGTGCCTGTTCCCTTGATGTCTACAATATCACCTTTCTTGTAGATTCGCATGTATGTGGCCAAAGGAACAACGCCATGTTTTCTAAAGGCCTAGAGAACATAGAGCGGGTGCCCCTCCCCTTTCCCTGTGTGTTGGTCATCTTGACAAATTACTGGAAGATGGCTTCCCGGCTGAAAAGCTCTTCTCTCTTATCTTAATCCAACTTCCGTCATATATCAGAAAGCATAGCCACTGGCAGCTCCTGACCTTTTTTTTCCATCTAATAGTTTCTGTCACCAGAGATGGACTGCCTCTTTGGTATCAAGGCAAAACAAAACAAAAAATAAATCCTCACAGGCCAGGGTGCAAATTGACTCAGTTTAAGAGTCTGCACCCTCTATACCATCATCAGCTGGAGCCAGGAACATGGGATTAGTTAGAAAATGCGAGCCTCATGGGGACAATATGGATGGATCAGAAAAAGACACATACTCAATGAAATGGTCTCCTACCCCAAAGGAAAATGACAGAAAGCTGGTATTCAAAAAGTATTAAGAACACCACAGGTGTGAAGTCTTTTTGACTCAACCATATGCAAACTATGAACATAAATTTTAGGACTCAGGAGTCTCCATGTTGATAATAGTAATCTTCCTGAGAAGATTTGAAGGGACATTCACTGTTAAGGCTGAGTGTTTGGCACCTATAATGTGCACAGCACTGAGCTAGGTGCTATGTTGGGTACAGAACTACAGGTCATGGTTCCTATGTTCAAAGACTAACAGTTGATGGGATTAAGGGCTGAGCAGCATTCTGAGAACCACTTAAAATATAATTATATAGATTATCAATCAATGATCTCATTTACAAATAGATCAAGTTTAAATTAAAATTAGCTTCCCCATAAAACTCTCAATGATTTAGAAATAGCTTAGGCTGCAGAACTCTATATTCACTTGTTCATTTCTTTCACACTTCTTATGTATTCACCACTGCTTTAGACACTCTATACGATAATAAAGGTGGTAGAGTCACAGTTCCCTTCCCTCAAATCCCTTACCTGTTCTCTCTGCCTGGAATATTCTTCAGTGACTCCCATATCCCGTTGCTACCATCTTTTAACTCCTGTCATTTTTTAAGATACTTTCTTTGACACTCTCGACTCGGTGAAAACTACTTTGCTGTATGCTCTCATAGAATCCTGGGGGCTTCCTTTTTGGAAAGTTATCGTATTTGTAATGTTTCTCCCCAATGTGTGCCTTCTTTAGTAGAATGAAAGCCCCATGAGGACAGGGCCATGCTTATTGTGTTCACTACAATGTCTAGAATAGCGTCTCAAAAATAGCAGGGACAAAATATTCATTAATTTTGTAGATATGTATTGAGTATCTATGCTAAGCATCGGTTTTGGCTGAATATACGAAAGAGGGAAAAAAATAGACATGGTTCTTCCTTGAAGGAATTTACATGTTAGTCAAAGTATTAATTTAATGATACAAGAGTATCTAACTCAAACTCATATCCCAGGTGAAGAAATAAATGCCAGAGAAACTACATGACTTCAGTAAACAATGTGGAGAATTTGAATAGTAGATTGCTGTTGTTTCTTACTTTCCTCTTACATACTGCTGTGTCTCAATCAATGCATGTTCCACAAAGCAAAGGTGAGTGTGTGAACTCCCGTTATTCAGTCCATGAATGCCTGCAGGATGCTAAGGGCATCATGAGCTGAGGGAGCAGGGACAAACACGTAGAGAACATGATTTTTTTTTTTAAGATTTTTATTGGGGAATTGGGGGATGGGAACAGTGCTGGGGAATTGGGGGAAGGGGAACAGACAAGTTGCTGTCGTTTTGTTCTTCAGTATAGTTGTGGAGGACGTTGCTTCTCTGGCCTAAGTTGGCACCATCATTGCGCTCTTCCTGGGTGAGGTAGATCAGTCGCCGGCTTCTGGACGGTCGCTCACAGCGGCTGCTGGCTGCTCATGCTGGCTGCTGGCTACACACGGTAGCCCATGGCAACCCACTGCAGCAGGGGCTGCAGCCTACGCCGTCGCCAGTGACTCACGGCAGCCCAGCTCCAGGTTGAGCTGTTGTTCAGCATCTTAGCTGTAGAGGGCAGTGTCACTGGTCCTCATATGTGGGATCCGAATCGGGGCCCTCTGGCGTCCCAAGCCAGCTCTTAACCAACGTGCCACTTGGCCGGCCAGAGAACATGATTTTTATGTGCACAAAATGTTAGGCTAAGTCAGTACAGGCAGACAGCTTTGGTGATTTCTTGACCAATTCTCTGTCAGCCCCTACAAGAGCAACCATAATGTCCTTTATTGTTTCGGAGCCTTGGGATAGAGCTCCTGGGAAGTGTAGGCATTGGCATCCGTATTGTTAGGGTTTAGTCAGGAGCTGTGAAAGAGCTTAGCCCTGAGCAGGGGTTGCAGGAGGGGCTAATATGGATTATTTTTGGGAAAGTAGAAGGGCTTTTCAGAAGATAGCATGTAAGGCAAGCGCGTTTTTATAATAGGAGTGTATGAACAGCAAAGAGATAGCTTGGTGGAGTATGTAGTGCATATTGAACAATGAAAAATAATATGGGATAGGTATGGGGGACTGGGCTGGAATTGAGTCCTTAGAAATGGAGAAATGGCTGTTTCCAAGAATGAAGAGAGAACGAGGTTTAGATTTCAGTTGATTTCTAACTAATCAAACTCGCTCCTAATTTTAGTGCCAGGAAGGACTCCCGTTGGAACTCGGCTAGGGTTCTTTCTCCCAGTATGAGAAACTGCCCTGAAAGGATACAGAGAAATCCTCTCATCCATTCAAACCCACACGATAAAAGCCAGTCTCTGGACAGGTTGTTATGTCAGGTTACCACACGTCTCCTCAACTTAAAATGCACCCTCCAACCCCCACAAAGCTGAACTGACACGTCAGTGGAAACACATAGCATAAAGTTGACTGTCACCGTCATCATCTTCACCCACGGAATGGCAGGGCCTGTGTAAGAGTCTGTAACTCTATCATTGGCAGTTGTACTGGCTCAGATCTCATCCATTTCACTCATGAAATCTGCGAGCTGCCGAGTCACTGAATCAGAAAGCACCTCAATCGGAATAACCACATTTTTAAAAAGCAGCAACTTTTAATGCTGTGAGCAGAAATCCTTTGGCACATTAGAGACATGCTCTACTGAGGGCTACCTGCTAAGACGAGCAAGTCTGCTTCTATTATGGAGAGGGAGAAAAGATTATTTCCCTGTCTTTAAACAAGGCAAGTTCAGGAATGAGCTGCAGCGAGGTTGGGAAAGTGTGGGGAGAAGTCAGAGAAAGCCGTGCATACAACATCTGTAAAGAAAATGTTTTATTTAAAGTGTTAAATCCCATCACCAGAATGAATTTGATTTACATTAGTTGGTGTTCATTACAGGACTAATCTGCCCCCCTTTTTTGTTTCCCAACTGGAATTCCCTTGACTTTTAAAACATACTAGCTTATGTTCAGGGCAGCAGTGGTCACTGGAATAGTGCTATTTACATGACTAAACCACAAGTTGAGGTGCAGATAGGTGAAAATTAAAAAAAGGTACACGAACTTTTAAATAAATACTGCATAATGATGTGTATGTACAAATATTCCATAGTCGTGTCCTTCTTATTAAAATTAGAAATAATTTATATAGGAATATGCACAAAAGATTATGTGACTGCATCTTAGTATCGGGAAAATGGTAAACGTTTATTCTAAGGGAGAGTATAGACACTCTAGGTCTATTAAATCAATTGTTTGCTGGTACACAAGTGTCTAAGTTATTTCAACAAAGTTTTATTCATTCTTTGAAAAACTTTACCCGGGTCCATCGCAGATCTCAGAATGTCAAGACACAGTCTCAGTATAGTTCATATTGCACCACATAAAGAGAAGGCATTTTTAGTGATACTCATTTTAACTTTTGCACCACATCAAGCATGATAGTTTTTAATGGTCAGCAGTGAATTTAAAAAAGAAAAAAAAAAAAAAAAGAAAGTGATTTTTGTGCATGGCCTTAGTTTAAAGAAATGGTTATGTATGTGGATTTCAAGTTATTACGAGAAATTAAAATCAAACTATAGAATGTGTTATCAAAGTGTACGTAAAAAAAGCAGAAAGTATGGGTGGTTTATTACATTAACCAGTAACTTTTCCTCTAAATAGGGGAACTTAACTAAGAGAAATTTGACCTTGCAGAACCACCCAACGGTAACAACTATCTGTAAAACCAAAGGCAGGGGTTTAACTTTTGGGGATTTATGTGTAGACTTTTGGTGATGGCATCAAAGAACTAGTAATAGGCAGATTGACTTTCTTGGAGTCACCTAAAAATTGGAGCTTTAAAATTATTTGTTGCAAATTCATGTTTACTATATTTCTTTAGAAATATAATTTGTGAAAAATTGAATTTTACTACAGAAAAATGAATTAATAAACAGTCCCTTTGTTTCAGGGCCCCAAAGTTTTAGCAGTGTTTCTATTCACCCAGTATATGGAAACCAGCTAAAGAAATTGCTTTAATTAATTAAAAAACAAAACCTAAGACATTCTAGAAATAATACTTTAACCCCTGTATGAATAATGCTGGTGCTAAAAACAAATTTATTAGACATTACAATGGCCACATGATTTTAGAATTTTCTTGTAAACTGAACTTTGAAGGTGAAAATAAAATTACCATGCACTGTACAATAAACTGCAAAAGTTCAAATATCTTCTTTATCAAATACATGCTGACTTACTTTAATGTACTCCCAAGCCATGTTGCAAAATCCTTTTCAACATGCTTGAAATAAAGAAAGCTCTTAGTTTTTTTTTCCTTGAGAAATTCATAAATTCAGAAGCATCTACAGCTCTGAATCAAACATGGGGTATAAGAGAGTATCAGGTCAAAATCTTGTAATTTTTTTAGTATACCATGGTTACTATGGTAGGGTGAAAGAAAGTAAAAGATTAAAAGAGGGAGAAGAAGAGAAGTGAGACAGCGGAAGAAAGATGTGAACGATTTGCACATATTGAACTTCATTAGGTTTGTATATTTAACATGGAAATAAATTGAATATATACTTATTTGTCACATAAAGAGAATTTTAAGTATCTTCTAAAAAGTATTTTCATTTGTAATGTCTGCCAAAACACAGACTATGATTAGTTTAAAGAATAAACATGGTGTGTCTTTGTATCACCCTGCATTCTCTCCCCCTTTTAAAACCATGCACTAGTGAAATTTATCTTTAAAAATAATATAAATTGTTGAAAATGGCTGATTTTTATTTTTATTTTTTGCAAGTTGCAGCCCCAAGAAAATAATTTAAGTATTCAGCTAATCTGTGTCCATGCAAAAAAAGTTTCTTGAATTTCATTCAGTACAGTGTAGCCACAGAATTTTGTTTTTCAGAGTCCAGCCCATCTTGGCGTTAGGGAATGACGTGTCTGCCAGAGCTCCGCGGTCGGCCACTGCTCACGCTGGACCGGCTGCTCCTACCACCGTTCAGACGAGGGCTGACTTTTTGTCCTGGACCACTTCTTTGGTCTCCTGCTTTTCACCTGATGCTTCCTAGGACTTCACTCCTTGACTTGTAACATGGCTTAATGGCTGTATAGCTCCATTTCTGTGGCATAACAGGGCTTTGGGGTCAGAGAAACGAAGAAAAAGGAACGATAAAAATATAAAGGTGCCACTGAAAAGGGCTTTTGTTGCATGAAACTGACTGATTCTTTGAGATTAATCCATGGCTTCAGATTGGACCAAAACTTGAGTATGAATTGAACTCCAAACCTGATAATTCTTCATAGTTCTGCTCTTTCACCTGAGGGCCTTCTTTAGGGCACAATGTGTGCAACTTCCTCTGAGAACACAGGATCGCTTTGTATCCCTAGAAACAGGCTCAGAAGACACAACATTAAGCATGCAGTGTTACCAGGGTTTGCGACCTGTGATTTTTTTTTTTTTTGTAACGCTGGTTGCTATGACAGCAGTTTTACAGCTGCTATGAACGAGAGTAAGAAGGTCCGGTTGAACTTTCCAGAGATGATTGGGAAGCTCTTCTTGTCAGAGGGGCCAAGGTTGGATCTACTAGAGATGAAGGGGGGAAAAGTTTGAACCATCCAATCACCATGTTGGACAGCTCCAGTTCATCTAGAAGTATCTGGGCCACTCCCATGAAAGATTTGTGATCCATGCGGCCATAATCTCCCCAGACAATGATCTGTTGACAACATAAGAAGGAGAGTAATATCAGTTTAATCACGTACATAACACTTGTAAACTAAAATACATGCAGTTAATGTGCTGACATCAGGCATCAAGTAAGTAGTATTTAATACTGGGATAATTGTCTTTAACAACTAGAATCCAAAGGTGTATCAGGAAAATTGTATGGAGTGTGAGGACCATAAGGAGTCCAGGGAGACTGGAGTTTAAGTGTGATGGGGGTGCCAAGTCACTTTAAAGGAAACAATAGTATCTATTGCTTCATAGCACTGGCTACGGCTTTGAAGTTTCCCAAGAATTTTCGCTGTGAGGAATAGAAAAGAATGTGATGAGAAAAGATGTTGGGTACAAAGTTGGACTCCATGAAAACACGTTCTTAGGTTAAGAGAGAAACAATTCAGGAAATACCTGTAAAACCTTCCCTTGTGGACTTTCTTCAAAAGATAATAGCTGCTGGTAAAGGGGTTCCAGCGTTTTTCTTGCTACTTTTGTTTTCTTTTTGGCTACGCAGACTCCATTATCTAATAGATACACCTTTACATATGGTGCTTGGGAAAGAAAACAGAGGAGAGTTAAGTGATGAGCTATCATGGCTGACATTTGCACCCGCTTAATCTTAGGCTGAAAGAGCTAGCCATCCAAAGTCACTGGCCTTTCCACATTATGTCAAAATCACTAGATAAATGATAGATAACCATCAGCCATTCAGGTAGTTTTAGGCAATGTGGACACAGCCTCTGAGTTGATTACTATTTTGCCATCAACTGGTTATATGGATTTGGACACTGCATTAAATAAGGTGTTACGCTTCTAGTCCCTAACAGAGATAGCTTACCCAGCCTCAGTCTTTCATTTGTTAATATTTAAATCTAATTGAATGAGCTTGAAATCATATTGTTTTACTCGCCCATCCCCACAAATCACTTATTTATCACTCAAAAGGGTTTGTTTATTGATGGTGGTGGTGTGGGTACATGACAAGGGTGAGTTTGGAGGTAGTCTGTTCAAATTAGCTGGGAAGAGGCAACTAATTATGAATTCCATGGCTTGAAATTTACCTGACACTCTTCATATAAGCATTTTCATGCATGTAGAAATTAAGATATTCTATACAGCAGAGTGGGTTGCTTAGTTCCATGACCTTTATAAACACTTGCCTTAATCACCACTGCAAGGTTGTACAATAGGCCATATATATTATAACTTAGAATTTCTCCAAGAGTAGGAAAGTTAAGAGATTCAAAATTACATTCAGGGGCCGGCCGAGTGGTGCGACAGTTAAGAACTGGCTTGGGACACCAGAGGGCCCTGGTTCGGATCCCACAGGTGAGGGCCAGTGACACTGCCCTCTACAGCTAAGATGCTGAACAACAGCTCAACCTGGAGCTGGGCTGCCGTGAGTCGCCGGCTACAGCGTAGGCTGCAGCCCCTGTGGCAGTGGGTTGCCATGGGCTACTGTATGTAGCCAGCAGCCAGCGTGAGTGGCCAGCAGCCGCCGTGAGCAGCCGTCCAGAAGTCGGCGACTGATCTGCCTCGCCCTGGAAGAGCGCAATGATAGTGCCAATTTGGGCCAGTGAAGCAACGTCCTCCACAACTAGACTGAAGAACCAAAGGACAGCAACTTGTCTGTTCCCCTTCCCCCAATTCCCCAATAAAAATCTTAAAAAAAAAAAATTACATTCAGTCAGTGGAGGTGCTAAGGTAAGAAATCAAGTTTAAGAAATCTCAGTAATTGTTCTATACATCAGATCTGATGACCTATACATCTCTGCACAACGCACCTGGGGTCTGTGGCCCTTTCTATGAAACAAGCACCTTAGTATATGTACCTTCAGTATGAGATACGTGCCATCATGTATTATAAAAATTTATAATGTTGTCTCTTGTTCTTTATACACAAGAGGAAGTAAAAGCCTTATAATGAGAATGTCCTGCATACACAGGCTTATGCTACTTTGGGGTCTATATGTTTTCATTCTAATTCTAGAATTCTAAGAATTTCTGAGGAGAATTTTGAAGCTCCAGATAAACTGAAGAATAACACAAAACACCAGCTAACGAGAAGAAGACCTTCTTATGTACATGTTGTATAAATGAATTACCTAAGTATGGTAGTTTTTATTTTGCAGTGGCTTCAACTACATATGAGTATGTACTTATTTAACAACTTATATTATCCCCACCAGACCACCGTCACTGACGCTCTCTCAGGATAAACACACAAATTATTACAGATAATTGACTCATTTGTTGATATCTTGATGATCTAAAAACAAAGTTTTCAGCACCTACTCAAAAACAAAGGCTCTGAATTGAAAAGTGTAGATTACGAACAATAATAGAAGAATCTCTTCTGTTTTTACCTGGCAGTGTCTTGGAACCTGGTTTTACAACAAGACCACGAGCCCGAATGATTTCCACCTCCAACTGTCCCTTTTTTTCCATCATTCCTACCTGAATGTCACCTATTGGTATGTGAGGAAGAGACAAACAGGATTTAATACATAAATGCAGTAAGAAAAATGCTTGTGCCAAAGACCTCGGTTTAACATCATTTCATCATTTTCCATTTATTTCCTAAATTTTTAAATTCCTATATATTTAACATTTTATTCATGATATCTCACTTGATAAAGCATATCAATTAAGTGAAAACAATTAGTTGAAGACTGTTCGATTGTTAAGATCTAAGATACTCATTCCTGCTGAACAGCACCGTTAAAGATCCTATGAAATTAGAGAATGTGATTTTTCAATAATCTAAAAGAAGCACAAGGAAGTCACATGACAGAAATTCTTACCCATCGCAGGTGTAGCCAGAGTCTGGCGCCCCACGAGCTGGGCAGGCCCAAGGCCATCCAGGAAATCGCTGAACTGGCTATCAGAGGCCAAGCGGACACCAGGGAAAATCAGACTAAAAGCAAAATAACACATGGAATTAAACCCTTAACCTCTGCTTACATTCACGCAGCTCACGTTTCTGTGAGCCCGTCTCTGTGGCAGCAGCAGTAGGTACCACTATTTTGCCACTTGCATTAATTGAATCCCCACACCCCACGACCCCTCCCACGGCTCTCCCTCCTTCTCCAGCAGCCCACGTGTGTCACCAGAAGCACTTGTCATGATGTACTGCAGGCTTCTCTTATGTGTCTTTCTTTTCCTTGTCTGGAGGGCATGGACTGTGACTTCTATCACACATACCGCACTGAGTGCGTACTGAACACTTACTCAATGACCAGCATTATCATATTTCATCATCTTAGCTGCGCTACGAGGCAGATTCTATTATTGAACCCATTTTACACATGAAGAAACTTTTTCGGATCACTCCCATCAGCACACAACTGTGATTTCTTCCACCTTAAAAAAAAAAAATCCCTTCCCTAACCCCACTTCCCTCTCCAGCTACTACCCTGTTTCTCTCCCTGATACTCCTGGAGTGTCTCTATGTGCTCTCTTCAATTTCTTTCCTCTCATCCTCTCTTGAAACTCTAAACAGTTTTTCCTTGCTCTCTTCCTTGCTTTATTTTTCTCCACTCTACTAAAATTTCTGCAGTCATGTTACGTAATAGCCACAGGGACACTCTGCATTAATTAATACGACTTTAATATATTAGCATTGTTTCACACAATGGATTCTTTCTTCTTCCTTGAAACACTTTTTCCATTTGTTTCCCAGACTTTCTGCTGTCCTGGTTTTCCTGTTTGGCCACTCCACCCCAGTCTCCTTTGCTAGTTCTGCCACTAAATATTGGGGGCTTGATCCTTTGACCTCTTATCCGCTCTATATGTCCCAATTCCCTTGGTAATCTCATCCAGTCTCCCGGTTTTAAACACCGTCTTGCTGCTATTACATAGATTGACATCTCCAGCTTGGGCCTCTCCCTTGGGCCACAGACTTGTACTCTGTTTTATCAACATATCTGCTTGGATGTCTAATAGGCAACTGAAATATCACTTGTCCCAAACTGACTCCCAACCTCCGAACAAACAAAAAACCCAAACTCTGTTCCCTTCAGAAGATCCCCATCTTCAATGGTAACTTCATTCTTTCCATTGCTCAATCGTGGAGTCGTCTTTCCTCCTTGTTATGGACTGAATTGTGTCACCCCATTCATATGTTGTAGCATTGACCCTCAGTATGATTGTATTTGGAGACAGGGTCTTTAAAGAAGTAGTTAAGGTTAAATGAGGTCATAAGGGTGAGGCCTTAATCTTGTATGACTGGTGTCCTTATCAGAAGAAGAGACACCAGGGGTGTGCACACACAGAGGACAGACCATGTGAGGAAACTGAGGCGGCCATTTGCAAACCAAGAACAGACGCCTCAAGGGAAACCAAACCTGCTGACACTTTGGTCTTGGACTTCTAGCCCCCAGAACTACGAGAAAATACATTTCTGTTGTTTAAACTACCCCAGTCTGTGGTATTTTGTTAAGGCAGCCTTAGTGAACTATTGTATCCCCTCTTTCTCTCATTAGTCACATCAAATGCATCTATAAATCTTATTGGCTCTACTGTCAAAATCCATCCAGAATCTGACCTCACTAATGCTACCACTGATCCAAGCCATCATCTTCTATCTGCCGTATTACTGCAACAGCTTTCTGATTTATCTCCCAGTGCCACCTTTATTCTCCACCCCCACAGCAATCAGAATGATCTGTTAAAATTGAAGTCAGACCTCAGGCCTCTGCTCAAAATCTTCCATCGGTTTCTCAGCCCGCTCAGAGTCAAAGCCAAGTCCTTACAATGATATGTAAAGACGATATAAGCCGTCCACCACTGCTTCTCACGTCTTAATTCCCAGTCTGTTACTCCTCTTGCCCTTACCCACAGTGCTGACTGACGTCAGGCAAGTTCCTGCCTGAGGGCCTCAGCACTGCCTCAGCCTGGAATGTTCCGCCCTCCAATATCCATACGCCTCACTCACGTCCTTCAGATCTGGACTCAGATGTGTCCTTTTTCCTGTCTGCCCCACAGAAAACCCTACCCATACTCTCCATCATCTCTCTTCCTGTCTTTATTTTTCATCTGAGCACTTATACCACCTAATCTATATTTTAATAATTTTTCTTGTTTAGTGGCTCTCTTGTCTATTAGACTGTAAATCTGGTGAAGGTAAGTTTTGTGTTTTTTTTTAAATATATTTTGTTCACTGATACATCTCTAGCTCCTAGAACTGTGCCTGGAATATTGTAAGCACTTAATAAATAGTTGTTAAATTCAATCAATCAATTAAAATGAAGCCTAGAAACTTGCCCAAGTTTCTACAGTACCAAAAAACCAGATGGGAACTTAAGCCTATATGATTCTAAAGCCCATCTGTCCTAACCACTGATTTTGGCTCCCCGGTAAGGCTTACATCTCCAACTCATAGCACAGTGCCTACAACACTAGAAGTTCTAGTGCCCTATTTGTTGAATGAGCTTAAGAGTATTCATCCCATTTCTCCAATAAGATTAGGAACATCTGGAGTGCAGGGGCCATAGTTTAAACATTTTGATATACCCAACAGTATGTAACATAGTGATTTGCAACAATGAGCATTCAGTGCACATTTACATTTCACTTGATTCTCCGTCTCTTTTAAGACATCCTTGATCAACGTCAAATCTATTTCTTCCCCCCAGTCTTAATTCTCAAATATATAGTTAATCCAAACATTTTAATGTTTCCATAAGTATCCTGCATAACCTTATTTGTAAATGCATACAAACCATATACATCTCATACACACACACACACACACACGTGGGGTGCCAAAAAAATGTATACAAGTAGACACTTTGGTCAGCATTGCTCAAGCAGTAGTTTGCTGTAATCAGAAGTGTCTGGACGCTGATGGTAATTTAAGCACCTCTTGTAATTGCAGAAGTCAAATATGACTTGTATTCATCTTTTGTTAATGGTATATATTGAGTATAACAATTTTAATACAGTTTTCTTTTCTTAAAATGTGTATACATTTTTTTGGCATCCTCTGTATCTATATCTGTATCTATATTTAGATATACAGTAATACCTTGGTTTGCGAGCATTAATTCGTTGCAGAAACAAACTACTCATATTGCAAGACAGCGCTCGTTTACCACGTTAAAATGTATTAGAAACATTTGCTTGTCTTGCAGAACACTCGCAAACCAAGTTACTCGCATTCCAAGGTTTTACTGTATATAGATATATAATTGTGCTAGGCAAACGATCCTTAGGGCATATCATCGATACTCTGCCAGCAGCCTATGGCCTCACATCTGTTAACTGGCTACATATATGTTGTCTAAACACCAGACGCTTCCATGGGGGTGACAGATTGAGGTCAGCAAACCCCACTTTCTTCTGTTAATGTCATTTATGCACCCATCTATGATCTGCAGTTGCTAATTACTGTTTATTTGCTGGTGACAAGGCTATGCAATATTTATAAATGTTTGAAAACTATCTCAGGTACAGTTGATTCAAGAGGAAGCTACATGACAACTACATATAGGAAAGGCTCACCAACTCTGTGGCATTTCTTTTTGGCTATTAACATTTGTCTGAACTGTGTGTTACTGCATGGAATTAAGTATGTATCAATATCCTATACTTTTAGTAATAACTCTTAGAGAAAAGATTTTAAAAATTAGCATTGTTCATGTGGTGTGGCATGAGTGCTTATCATTTTTGTGCTTTTATGTATTATTTCAAATTAGGGCAAATTTTTATTTGCATGTAGTGTGCAAGTCACATTTTAGCATCTTGTCATTAAGGCAGAACATTTTATCGCCCAAACTATTCCCCTGGATATAAAAAGCCAGATATGTCACATTTCCCAGTGTCAGGTAAGAAAAAGTTCTCACCACAGCAAATCAGCCAGTGAAATTTAAAATGGTTCTGTGGAGTGCGTGTTTGTTTTTGTGGATGCAGGGAGAGTGAGACAGAGATGATGGTCGGGCAAAGCATGGAAGAGATGCACATGATACACAGCCTCACTTACTTTCCTTCTGAGCTATAGCTGTTCATGCTGCCATCTGTAGACTCTCGGCTCGCCTGTCGAGTCATCCAGTTCCTCATTTCCACAGCCAGGCCTGTTTCTGTACTTCTTTGGACAGTGCTCCGTAGCTTTTTACCTCCTGATTCTGCACAGACAGAAAACAAAAGGGGTGATAGCTTTGTCATCACCATCTGGTGACAAAAAGTATCAGCCAATGCTTTGAGGTCCTCAGATGAAAAGAACTGCATATATAAAAAGTGCTCTAATTAAGGAGACAGAAAGAAAGGTATTTCAAACAATGTCTTGTTAAGTGGGATGAAAATTTTCTGAAAATCTTCAAGAAGCACAAAACACCATTGTTTTATTTGCATTTAAAACAGTGTTCAAAGTGGTAACAATAGGAACAAAAGGGTTCAACCTAAGGAAAATAAAATCAACTTTGTTTTCATTATAATATTTGAATACAAGATTAATTTATACCTGTCTTTTTCTTTTTTCCTTTCTTTTTGTCATTATAAAAGAACTAAGCCTTCACATTATTTCCAAAGAACAGGTGGGGTGAGTAATCCTCAATTCTAGCTGTAACTTTCACACAAAAACCTGTTTTTGTAGGGTGATTGATATTAGAAGGCAAAGAAAGCTATACAAAGGAGATAGCCCTGTTTGACAGTAGTTTCACATCTGTTGGCAACTTTCAGAGAAATCCTCAAAGGGGCTACAAAAACCCAGCAAGGCCATGTGAAAAAAGCTTTTCAATTATTGGTCATGCATAGTCAGGCTCTCAGGGATCTTTGGCAGCTCGGAGAGAGGTTTACTTATAAAAGCCCATTAGAAGACCAAATGGGAAACTGAGTCCAGTATACCATAGATGGGACACAGGTAAGAAATGTTACGTGAGAGGTCAGGGGCAAAGGAGCTTCGTAGAGGGAGTGGAATTTGAGCTGAGCTTGCAAAATGGGCAGCGTGGAACCCAAGAAGAGGCAGAAGAGAGTGCTTCTGCCAAGGAAAGGGCAAGGACAAAGGTATGACAATAGGAATGACCATGTGCAGTTCAGACAGTGCCAATAACCAAAACCTATGGAGGAGTGGGGATGGGGTGGGTCAGACAAGAAACTGAGCCCAAGTTATAAAGGGTCATGTTGGAATGTGGGGATGAGAGACTACTGAAGCTGGAGCAACAGGGTGACAGTCCAAATTATCGGCATTAATTTACTTCTTGTCAGGCCTAGATATTTATCCACAGTGACCATGCATATCATTAGCTTTTTGGGATTTGGTAAGGTCTTTTAGTGCCTGGTATTAATCATTTCATTTTAGATTAATAAATATTTGCTGATCTTGCCAGTGACTTGTTGAAAGCCCTTTCACCAAGCCTCCTAGAATATTTGCTCACCATTTTGAAACACTGCTTTAAATTTCATCTAGTCTACATTTCCAACTTTAATGCACATCAAAATGCTTTAGTAAGTATATATGAAATAAAAGTTATGACTGATCTATAACTCAGTTCCAGAATCTAAGGCTGATATTTTAGATAATTGATAATAAACATGTTGTACTGATATGAACTTAAGACAATATAAAGCAGCCCCCATTGATGAGGGAAAGCTCTTTTTCACAGAGGAATGTTAGTTGAGAAAGGTAAAAGGAATGAAAAAAATTGAAAATTCCCAATTTGCAACCTCCAATGGAATAAATGAATCAAATAAGGCACACTAATGGGTGCTAACACCATTAGATGAAAGGATATTCATATGAACCCAAATATCATTCCACAGCTTAGTTCTACTTATTGAAGGAAAACATACTTTAACACCGGAAGACCTGGCTATCACCATCTTAATCAAGTGGCCAAACTTAGCAGCACTAACAGTAGGGAAGTCATGTGTGCCTCCTGATATAAAATGCACAGTATCACCTATGGAGTTGTTCTGGACAAAAATATACCCCGTTTCTCATCAGATCTTTGGAACCAACTTCTAGTTTTTAAAAATAGGGAAGATAGAGTAACAAGATAAATGATACACACATACACAAATCTCACAAACCCAGAATATGGGATTTTGTTCAAGAGAATTGGCGTAGTTTCTTAAAATAGTTATTACCATGAAAACAAACAAACAAGGTAGGTGAAATGTTCCAGATTTAAAACTATCAGAGATGTAACCATTAAATGCTATGAGTGTACCTTGATTGGTTTCAAGGTACCTAAAAGCAAAACACTCTAAAAGCAATTCTGGGACAAGTAGAGGAACTTTGAATATAGATTGGATATTAGATGGGACAAGAAAATGGTTCATTTTCCTAGGTAGATAATGGCATGTGTATTATAAAAAAAATGTCGTTACCATTACAAAATACACGCTGCAGTATTTGGACCTAAAATGTTATGTTATCTGCAATTTCAAATAGTATAGCAAAACTTCATAAAACGAAGAGGATGAAGTGCTTTTAAAAAAGGATGGGGATGAAGAATACACATTGGTATTCATAAATTTAATATTTACGATTTCATTTGAGAGTGATCCCGAAATGGCCATATCAGAAGAAATAAAATTTGTCCAGGTGTGAGCTGGAATCATGGAAGGTGCCAGGCTGGTGTGACGGAGTCAGGGCTGAGTCCTGGCCTCCGCTTGCAGCTTTACTGTTCACTTCCTGTGAGGAACGCTCATTTTAAAAATCACCATCAAGTGAGACATACAACTTCTATGAAGTCTGAAAATATGGAATGAGGATATGTCCAGGCAACATAGGACTTTCAAAGGCAATGAGATTCCTAAAGGTCTCATGACACAGCCATCGCAATATCAAAGATCTAGTGTTTTTCATTTAATGTCTGACTCTACCACAGCAAAAGTGATATGAAAATCTGCTATTATAGGGTGATAAAAACCAGCCACCATTTGTCAAACAATGTAATGAATATGTAATCCTTTTGTTTACAGGTTGTTGGTTTTTTGTTTTTTTGTTTTTTTAGCTGAGCCATCCTGCTACCTGTTGGCAGCTCAGTGGCTGCTCAGCTCGGGCCGGGACTCGAACCGCTGTAGCTCAGAGCTCAAATTCTTGAGGGAGCTCTTAACCAACTGAGCCACTCGGCCAGCCCTACAGGTTGTTTTTTGACATGGGTCCTCTTCAGAACAACTCTAACAATCCTATTTTACAGGTACGCACCCAAGGGCCCCAGGAGTTATACAATTCCCTGAAGCCACATAGAAAATGACAGAACCAGAGTGTGTGCACAGTTCCCCGACTGCAAATTCTCTGTGACTCACGGATTTGTTGTCAGAATCTAGCCAACGGGTAGCTTGTGCAGCGGTCTACGGAGACGATACTAAGCTAACTGTGTAACTGACATGAAGGGCCGTTAGAAGCGGCTGGGGGAGAGCAGAGCACAGTGCTGATGTCAGGTCAGACTGTTTCTCCTTGAATTCCCACTCGACCATGGACACGCTGGGCGGCACTGATTACGTTACTTACCTTCTCTGTGACTCAGTTTTCTCAAACTGTGAAATGGCAGTGATAATAACAATGTCTACCTCATAGAATTTTTGTGAGGATTAAGGAAAATGATTTACTTAAAGTGCCTAGGAGAGTGCCTTGTATGTAGACAATCTTCAATTAATGGTACTGTTATTTCTATTACTACCAGGTAGGGAATCAGTAAACATGTATTCTAGGCCAATCTCTACCACTAAGGAGCTGGCTCTGCGGCCTTCTCTGAGTCATATTCACTCTCTGAGTCTCCGGCTCCTCATTTATGAAAAAGGCAGGGGAGAGGGGAAGGTGACAGAGGATTTCTGATCTTTTTTAGCTTGAAAGTCTATGAATTTGTGTCACTAATGTATGACCAAGACCATGGTTGACAGCATACATTGAGGAGATAATGCTACTCACTGTCACCTGATGGAATCAAAGAATTCTAGACAATATGCTGAACAATTATAAGAGCCTCTTTAAAATATGTCTTTTAAATGTACTGTTATTTGATATATTTATAGATTTATTTGAAAAATAAATGTATTTTTCAGTACCACAAATCCTTTGCATCGCGTTCACAATAAAAGTAATTTAACCTAAATATAATTCATTATGGTGATGCACATTTAGTGTTCCAAATGCTCTGTCATGTTATTCAACCTAAAAACTGAATCTATAGAACACTTAATGTCTGTATAAGGTAAGTATACTAGGCAGAATTCTAAGATGGCCACCATAATTACAGTACTTGACGTGGCAAAACGGATTCTGCAGATATAATTAAGGTCAATTGAGTACATCAATTGACCTAAGATATGGAGACTATCTGATTGAGCCTAACACACAAAGGAGTACGTTCTCTGGCTGGTTCCAGAAGAGTCAAGCAGGAAGATCTGAAACACAAGAAGGACTCAGTGTGCCTTTGCTGGCTTGAAGATGGAGGAGGGGACTCTGTGGGAAGGACCGGAGAGCAACTTCCAGCGGCTGACAGCAATGCCTGGCTGACAGCAAGAATACAGAGAACTCAGGCTTACAACTGCAAGTAACTGGATTCCACCGACAATCTGAATGACCTTGGAAGCACAGTTTCCTCCAGAGCCTCCAGACAAGAACTCAGCCCAGCCAACACCTTGATTCCAGCCACGTGATACCCTAAGCAGAAAACCCAGCCATGTCATGCCATGTGTGACCTACAGAACTGTGACCTAATAAACAGATGTTGTTTTAGGTTGCTAAATTTGTGATAATTGTTAAGCAGCAATAGGTCGTGTTTTAGATATATATATATATTTTTTACTGGAGAGATCTATGAAAATAATTTATTATAACCATAGGAGTAGTCCAACTGAAATTATTTGTAAGAGCACACACACACACACACACCCTACATACATATATCAAGATGTTTAAAAATACTGAAATAACCAACTATAGAACTAAGGCCCAGATTATGTTTTAGAGCTCTTAAACCACTTACACTTGGTCAGGTATTTGAAGTCAAAGAGCATTTGGAGAAGATGCCTGCAGGTAAACAACAAGTTCTTGAATTGCAAAAAATCACAGGCAGAAAGCTGAACACAGGAGGTGTCCCTGTTATTCTGCTCTGCTTAGTCTGATGACTCATTTACTTGGCACCCTTTACATGCAAAGAAAGCCACTTGATTAAAT